TCCTGCTGATACTTCCCTCATCACCTTCAGAATAGGCTCGGAAACAGCCACGCTTTCTTCAACAGCCCTCCAGAAATCATTGTCTTCGATGATGCCCATACATGATACGCTCTGCGGTTTATTTGCGTCTGAACAGTTGGCAGAATATTCTGCACTGTTAAACATGTGCTTCAGCCTTGCCTTTTGCTTCATCATTGCCTGTAACGATAAAAAACTGGAGACAGGCCTCGTGATACCGCTCTTAATTATATCTTGACCACCTGTGAACTTCATCATCAGATCCAGCACTGAGCCATTATTGTATATAAATTTGGTCAGGATTTGTGCTTGAAGTATACATCGGTTCACCCAATCTAACTTGGAGAATTCTTCTAATATCATGTTCAAGCTCCGAGTTGCACAAGGAGACACAAAAATGCTTCCATAGTTTTGCGAGATATGATTCGAGATACCTGTGTAGTTGAAACTACTGTCGATTATGATTTGCACGACATGTTCTTGTCCGATATCTTGAATTACAGAATCAAACAAATCAGCTAGGCATTTCGTGTTCTTGAAGTATGAAGAAGCATCCAAAGACTTGTGAAAGAAGGTTCTTGACGGCGATGAGACAAAGAAGTTTATCAGTGCCCGGGATTTGTTATCAGTCCATGCCTCCGCCAGGATAGTACAGCCGGTGGTGTGCCACTCTTTCTCAATCTCTTTCAACTGTATGCCAACTTCGGACTTTACCCTGTCCAACCACACAGTCCTGAGAGATCCAGCAGAAGGGCCAACAAATCCGACACCGCATTTCGCAATTGCCTCGATCATTTGCTGATACGACGATGAGCGGGCCACGCCAAAGTCGATCTTGTTCTCAAAGAAGAAAAGAGCAATACTCCTCGCTGCAATCTCTTGATTGTTTGAACAAGATGGCAGCGGTTGAAGGATGGTCGGGAAAACTTTAGCAGCAGAAGAGACAGCATCTAAGGGAATTAGAGGCCTAGAAACAGGTAAATTCCCAGGTGAAGGTTTAAGTTCTGGGGTTTTCAGCTTTTTGGTGCTAGGCGATTCTCTAGCATCATCCTTGGCAGATAAAATAGCACGGACTCTATCAGTGACATCGTCCCTTACCTTGGTACAAGGATTCACTCCTTTACTCGGAAGTCGAGATAGATGATGCTTCAACCTGCTAATTCCGCCATTCAAGACTCTAGAACAGAACTTGCACCTCACCTTATTCCCGTCTAATTTATCTGCGAACTCCCAACACATGTCCTTCTCTCGAACCACTGTCAA